GTGAGGGGTGCTCCATGTGAGGGTGCTCCAGGTGAGGGGTGCTCCAGGTGAGGGGTGCTCCATGTGAGGGTGCTCCAGGTGAGGGGTGCTCCAGATGAGGGTTTTCCAGGTGAGGAGTGCTTCAGGTGAGGGGTGTTTAAGGTGAGGGGTGCAGGAGTGTTCTAGATGAGGGTTCTCCAGGTGCTCTCCAGAGCCCAGGCACACACCCCCTCCCATATCGGTCACCAGGATCAATGGAGGGGTGCGGGCCTGAGTGGTATCCACATCCCCCAGAGGACACGGAAGTCTGCTGAGCAGCCCCTGTCACACAAACCACTTTCCTCTTGGGTGTGACCTATTCTCCAAGGGTATCCTCTACAATGGGCATCCCAGCCCAGGAGGTGACCCAAACTGCTGGTGTCAGTCACATATCATGCTACTGACACACTTGCCCTCCACCTGTGAGGTCCTGAGCTGGAGGCTCCGTGCCCAGGGACAGGTGGTGGCAGGGAGACCCCACCCTGGCCCTCAGCGGGTGCAGTCAACCAACAGCTCATCAAACGCACCATCAGACAACAGGCAGACACAGGCTGACAAAAGAAGGTCCTTGGTGCTAGGGAGGTGAGAACACGGGTCTGTGGCCCTGTCCACCTGGACAGGGAAGACTCCTTGGGGAGAATACATTAGCCAAGGTCTGAAAGGCAAGGAGTCACCCAGGTGCAGGTGGCAATGGAGTGCTCCAGGTGAGGGGTGCTATAAGGGAGGGGTGCTCCACATGAGGAAAGCTCCAGGGAGGGGTGCTCCAGGGGAGGGGTGCTCCAGGGGAGGGGTGCTCCAGGTAAGGGGTTAGCTAGGTGAGGGGTGCTCTAGGGGAGGGGTGTTCCAGGTAAGGGGTTAGCCAGGTGAGGGGTGCTCCAGGGGAGGGGTGCTCCAGGTGAGGGATGGGGCACCCTCCTGGCCCCAGAGGAAGGGAAGTGTGGCTGAAGCTTCATGCACAAGGGGCTGTGGGTCAACAGTGCCAGGCACTCAGGGCTGTGCAGACTGCAGGAAAGAATGGGCAGGGCCCAGGGAAGAACTGGACAGTGTCTGCACGGCAGTGACCCACCCCATCCTGGGGAGGACAGGAGATGGGAGAGGGGTAGAAAGACCAGTGAGGAAGTAGCTGGCACCAGCCATGTGGAGGCAAAGGTGCCTGGCACAGGTAGGGTGGCAGAAGTGGAGAGTAGGTGGGTTCACAGCTTTGGAGCACGGGGGGCCTTTCCGTGATGTTCTTCCTCACACGCGTCTTTGCTCAGATTCCCGAAAGGCAGGTGGCTTTTTGGGCCTTGCCAGAGTTGCATGACTCAAATGCCCGACCCCCATGCTCACCCTATGCACTTGGGGCGTGTCCATCCCCAGCCCCAGCCCGGACTCAACACAAGCACAGCCTGTCGTCTGCCTGAGGCCTGGCACCTGCTGCGGGGTGAGAGCCGGGAGCATGAGGTGAACGCTCCTCCCGGGAGCCCTCCTTGCCTGCACACAGCGGGGTGGAAGCTGCCGCAGAAGGCCAGCCTGCCAGACCCGCGCACCGCAGACGCCTGGGTAGGTTGGACGGAGGCTCCCCTGTTGCCCCAACTGTCTTCACGGGGCTCGTCCTGTCAGCCAACTCTGGGCGCCTTCTTTGGTCAGTACCCAGGTACCGGGCAAGACTTTCGCAGCTGCACCACCGCAACGAGACCCAGTGACGCCCCCACAGCAAGCACGGACCCACCCCCACCCGGGGCACCAGCCCGCTGCAGTCCCTCCTTCCCGCTGCTGCCCCAGGCCTCACACCAGCCCCTCCAGCCCTGCTTCCCATCAGGACGCTGGGAACACCAGCTGGTTTCACTCCTATGCAGATACCCTCAGGAGCCTCATTCAGCCCTGAAGCTCTTCCCCAAAGCAAAGACTCCCCTCTGCTGTCCCCACACCTGCTCCCTCCCTCGGCCCTGCTCCCGGGAGACCCCTGGGTGGGGAGTCATTGGCCTCCGTTCTCCTGCTCCGAGCCTACTGGGCGGCTGGGGTCTCCAGTGGTCCCCACCGAGTCTCCACCGGACCCAGCACGCCCCAGCCCTGCCCCGGGCTGCGGCGGCCACCCCTCCAGCCTCCAGTTTATTCCTCAGGGAACTGCCCAGGCTTCTAGGATCTTTGCATGTCCATTTCTCCGCCGTTCCTCCCTCGCACCCTGGGGGTCTCAGCTCCAGTGTGGCACCCTCCGGACTTCCCGCCCCCGCCAGAAGTCACCACCGCAAGCCCTCGAGTGCTTTCACTGTCACGCTCTGAACTGATCCGTGCAATCACTTGTTTTCTCGCTGTGCGGGTGTGCCAGGGTCTTCAGATAGGGGCTTCGGGCCGCGCACGCAGCAGGGGCGCGGGGGTGTGAGCGCTGCGAAGGGCCCCGGCCGGGGTGGGCGGGAGGGTCCTGGGACTGGGGTGTGGCCACCCTGTCTCCTCTGAGCAGGGTCTCGCCTTCCTCGCCTCCGCAGGTGGTGGCCAACGGTCTGGACGCGCGGTACCGCCCCCGTCCCCACAGGATCCCGGACCCCGGGGCGCACCGCCGGCGCCTGCCTTCCGCTGCCTCCCCTCGCCCTCCCTTCCGCCTCCCGCGCCCTCCCCGCCCGCCGCGCGCCGGGGTTTGTTATTGTGCGGGTGCCCGGGGCGAGGGGGGCGGGGGCGCGTGCCGGGCCTGGCGCGTGCCCGTGGACGCCGCGTCGAGAGCGCGCCGCGCGCCGGGGCCGGGGCGGGGCGGGGGCGGGGCCCGGCATCCTCGGCGCCCCCGCCCGAGCTCGCGAACCCGGATTGGCTCCCCACGCCGGGAGCGCGCGAGGGCGCGGCGCTTGGGGCCGGGCGGGTGGCGCGCGCGGCGCCGGCGGCGGCCGCGGAGGAGCGCGGGGAGGGCGAGGGGAGGAGGAGGCGCCCGCCCTGTTCCCTGCAAAGCGGCCTTATTTATCTGGGCACAGCCTCAGCCTCCCCGGCGGGAGGCTCGGGGCGGCCGATCCTCTCCCGCTGGGGAGCTCCTCTCCGTGCGCGGCCAAGGGGGCCCGGCCAGGCCGGGACGCGGGGCGCGGGGCGCGGGGCGCAGGGCGCGGCCGGGCCCTGCCGGCCAGTCCAGCACCCCAGCGGCCCCCGCGTGCGCCGACGCCCGTGCCGGGCTCCCCATGACGGGAGGTCGCCCGGCGGACAGCGTGGCATGAGCCAGGAGCCCGGGCCGAGGTAAGGTGCGCGCGTGGCCGGGCCGCGGGGCGGGGAAGGGGCCAGGCCGCACCTCGGTGGCGGCCACAATGAACAGGGGGCGGGGTGGGGGTGGGGGCCGCGCCGCCGCCGCCGCCCGGGAAGGGCTTACGTAACGGCAGCCCCTTCCCCACCTCCCCTGCGGCCGCTGTGCCTCCGTCCCTGCCCGGCCTTCCCACAGCCCCTTGCCCCGGCGGCCGGCCTGGAAGACGCCCGCTCCCCACTGGCCACTCGTCCAGGGCTGAGGGTCAGTGCCGCTGGTCCGCCCAAAGGAGGAATTGCAGGCCCCCGGCGCCCACCCTGCCTGGCTGAGCTCAGAGCGCGCCCCTAGAGCTAAGTGACAGGTCAGGGACAGTTAAACCGCACGGGGAGCGCGTGGATGTGCGGCCTGCGTCGGCCCTCCCCAGGGCGGCTTCTGGACCTGGGGCCTGCGCTGAGCTGCTGCCCGCGGGAGGAGAAGGGTGGGGAGAGCCTGGCATTTTCCCGGTTCTGGAGGTGAGACCTGGCTAAGCCAGGGCTGGAGGCCTCAGAAGGGAACTGCACCTTGAGACCTGCTGGGGAGGGTCCTGTGTCCTCTTTGGGATTTGGTGGGTGGAGATTGTCCACCCGTTACCCCAGAAGGAAAGAGGGCTGCAGTGGCAGCCTCAGAAACACACGGCCCAGCGGCCACGCCAGGCCCCTCCCAGGCTCTGCTCGGGCAGCCTGCCCTCCGCAGGAGGAGCAGATGGCGGAGGCCACCTCACCTGCCCCTTCCTGCAGGCCCTTCCCCCACTGGCTACGAGCAGCTCAGGCCTCGCTGGATCCCCACTGGACACAGGGCCTTCTCCCACTCCACCCCCTTGGCAGGGTGCTGGAGAGCAGCCTTGGAGCAGAGGGCCTGGGCGAGGCACGGAGACTGAGGGGTTTTCGGTGTCCTGGGCCAGGGCAGAGGCCTGGTGGAATCTGGCTGGCCTGGCCAGAGGTGTGCACAGGGATGTACCTGGGACTGCTGGAGGGGAGGGAAATTCAAGTCCCAGCTGCAAACATGGCTGTGTAGGACTCACTTGCCCCATTCTCTGCCCGCTGCCACCCCAACCACCCCTCACCTGGGGCCAGACCTATAAGCTCAGCCCCTTGTGGACAGACTGGCCCCCTCCAGCTCACACCCACTTCTGGGACAGCTGAACAAGTCCTACCTCCCACTGATGAGAGGGACATAAACGGCTTCGTGAGTGGGAAGGACAGGGCCCTGGAGCCAGGTGGACATGGACCCAGGAAGCCCCGTGTTGCCGAGGGGCGGGGATGTCCCACCCAGGTGGCAACGCTCAGCCACCCCAAGATCCGATCCGCTTGCATGTGGGCGCCCAGTGCTGTGCCTCCCAGGGCGGGGGTGGCAGTGAAGGGAGCTCCGTGGGTGAACAGGTGACCTGAGCCTTCCCCACCAGTGGTCCAGGAGGAGCAAATGGCCAGACCACCGCAGCATGTGGGTTCAGATCCCCACTCCCTCACTGGGCCTGAAGGAGGGGTGAGGGCTTGTGGCAGCTGCCTGGAGCAGTAGGCACTGGGGGCCCAGGCCTCGCCTCTGAACGTGCTCACGCTCTTCTGAGCAGGGGCTGAGACGAGGCCTGGATCCCAGCGTCCACCCTCCAGGGTGTCCGGCTTGCAAGGCCAAGCTGTGCTGGGCTTGACTGTGGGCCCTCCGTCTGCTGGGGCAGCAACACAGGTCTCTCTTGAGGCCATGTGCCTGCTGGGCCATGGTGCCCCTCCCCAGGGTCCCTGGTACACCCCTAGAAGCATCTCTAGCTGGGGGCAGGAGAGGAGCTCTGCCGCTGTGCCACGTGCCAAGTGGCAGGGACACGGGTGTGCCTGCGTCACTGGGCTGCCACGGAATGTGTCAGCCTGCACCCTGTCCCCAATCCCCAGCCACTACCCCGGCTGTCACCCCAGTCCCTGGTGCTGCCACTGCAGATAGAACCCGACGTGCATTTTTTTGGCCACCAGTGCCCTGCCCAGCTCCAAGGCACTCTGTGGGCAGGGTAGATGGTCCCTGAGGTTCTGTGAGGGCTGAGTGTTCGGTTAGGCTGTTCTGGTCTGATGCTCACAGAGATGGGGAAAGAGACCTCCAAACTGGGGGTGCTGAGGGGTGATGAGGCTTTCCAGGCACGCTTCCAAAAGAAGGATGCCCCAGGGGTGGGCACGCAGCGTGCAACCTCTGCACAGAATGCACTGCCATAGCAGGGGCCCTGCGGGGCGAGGGCAGTGCTTGGAGACCACCAGGCCAGAGCTCATCAGCAGGGTGTCGGGACCTCAGGAGGAAGAACAGGGCAGGGCGAGGACCCTTCGAGGTCACCGGGCCAGGACCCAGGCCCGGGTACTAGCAATCAGCCAGCCCCAGGGCTCTTGGAGCCAATCCTAGCTCTATGTAACTTCTGGAAAATCCCTCTGTAAGCTCTGCTTCCCCACTCCTGGTCAGGCCATGTGTGACTGAAGGACTCCGGCCAGTCGGAGGAGGGGCTGCGTGTGGTGCGGGGAGAGTGGGGCAGAAGGACCCCTTTCCTCTCTTGGTTCGGACCAGATGGTAGAGGACGGCAGCCACTTCCTCAGCCCTGCAGCTCCGGAGGAGGGAGTCAGTGGAAAAGGAGATGGGCCTCCTCTCCTGAAGGCTCTGTGTATTCCAAGGTCCACCCCAGCCCTGGGGTCTTGGGAGCCCTCTCAGTGCCTTGGGTCCCAACCCCCTTAGGCCAATCTCCCCTGCAGACACTGGCCATGGCACAATCTGGATTCATTTCCTGAGCTATGCCTTCCCTGCTGACCGAACTCCTAAGTCTGACCAGTCCTCCATCAGCTCTCCAGGACCTCTGGCAGCTGCACTCCTTTCTGCATGACTAATGGGGCTGCATTCCTCATTCATTCATTCATTCCCTAATTCATTCATTCCACAAGCCTGCAGAGGCCATGCATGTGTTGGTGGCGGCTGTCCTCAGGGAGTCCCCAGTCCACATCAGGTGGAGAGTGATGACAGCCCGTGTGATTGTGAGACCCTAGAGGCACTTTCTCATGAGCTAGGGGTCTCAGAGCAGGAGGCAGGGCCACCTCACAGCAGGCGCTGAGGGATGGAGGAGAAGAGCTTGCAGGGTTAAGGTGGGGGAACAGCACCAGGCAGAAGGGTAGGAGAGGAGGAATGACGTGGCTGGGCTGTGGCATCAGGGCTGGGAAGGGACAGGGGCTGAGATCTCAGGGCTCAGTCACTTGATTCGCAGAAGAGGCAGCTCTTAAGGGGCCCCAGCATGGCCGTCTGGGAATGGTAAGCCTGGACGCTGCGCATGAGAGGGTTCCCCCAGGAGTACCAGGCCCCACCATGCTCCCTAGGCTCACTCTGGCCACACGCTTCACACTGCATCCCCTGGGGAGGACATAAAGGCCCCTCTCCCCAGCAGCTCCCAGGCCAGGCTCAGGCTGCTGAGAACAAGACAGCTGAGGTACCTCTGTCTCTTTCCCCTGGGTGAGCCCAGGAGCCTCCAGCTCAGGAGGGGACCTCCCCAGAATTCCACTTCAAGCTGAGCCAGCACCGCAGGGGCTGAGGCTGAAGATGGTGCAGGCATGGCTACCTTTTTAACAAGCGTCTTCCCATATTAGCACCCAGGGTGAAGGAGACACCGTCCCTAGCAGCCCACGCAGGTTGTCCGAGCCCCTCTGGGTGGACGGAGAGCTCTCACAGTCACCGAGCAGGAAGGGGGGCCCTGAGCTATGGGAACAGGCTCCTTGGGGATCTTCTGGCTGGGTGGGTGGGGCCAGGGCCAGGCAGAGGGGCCATTTTCTGAGCCCTCCAGGGACCTCTCACTTAACTCGCAGAAAGACCCGTCTCCACCGTGAGCTCAGCTTTCTCCCACAGCGCCCATGCCTGGGCCAAAGTGTGTGGGTGTTTGCATTTTTTGAGCTACAGGGTAGAGGGTTTTCAGGCTGGGTCAGTCAAGCCGGGAATGTGAGGAGCGGCAGAGGCCGGCATGAGTGTGGACATGAGACTTGGGAGCAGCGGGGCCACCTGTGAGGGGACACAGCTCCCACCAAGCACACGGGGGGAGGGCTGACCGGCAGGCAGAGCAGCGCCTTCTGGCCGCTGTGCGGGTGTGGATGAGGGCAGCCAGGCCCTGGCCCATACCCGGAGCGCTCCTCAGCCTGTCCCTCCCTCCCGTGGGCTCTCAAAGTGCAGCTTGAAGCCTGGAGGTGGGGACGGGGCTGTGGGCGCCGGCAAACGTGAGCTCCAGAGCGGGGCGGGAAGCGAGCCCTGCCCATGCCCGGGGCATCCACGTGCCTCCCCCAGCCCCGGCGCTCCACGTGCAGGCCTATGACTGGGAGCGTTTTCAACCTAAATCGGCACTGCTCCGGGATTATTTCTCCCCTGACGCCGCCCCCGCCACCGGATCCTTCCCAGCTTCTCCCCCACTCTCCACCCCCGGGGCCCCTCCCTGCTGAGCGGGGGTAGCCAGGCCTTGGGGTTGCGGGGCTGCCCCGACGCTGCGGCTGTGGGCGGTGGAGCCGGCCCGGGCCTGGCCCAGAGCGCGCCGCAGGACCGGCCGCTGTCCATGGTGCTGGCGCGGGCGCCGCGGCGGCTGGCGGGTCTGCGGAGGCCCAGGCGTCCCCGCAGCGATGTCTGGGCTCCCGGGTCTAGGGTAGCGAGGGTCCCCACTCTGGGGGCACGGAGGGTGTTTAGGCCTGGCCTGCCTCCCGCTCTGGCCAGGAGTCGGGGCGGCTGTGGGCCTGGTGCTGCCCCCTCGGCCGCTGGCATCCTGCGATGTCCCTTCTCCCTGGCTCTAGGAGGGAACCGAGGCAGCCCCGCGCCAGGCCTTCCGGCTCCTCGGAGCCTCGTGCTCCTCACCGGAAACCCGAGGTAGCGACGCTCCCGCCCCTAAGGGCAGCTGTGGGGTTGGAATGGGTGCCGACACCCGCGGGACCTCGAAAACGTTGTGATGTCGTCAGCCTCCGTGGGGCTGCCGCCTTCTGATCATGGACCCATGACGGGGTCACCGGCTGTGGGTGCCTCCTTTGTGGAGGGACCGGCCCAATGACACCGCGGGGGAGGGGAGGATAGTACAGAGGGTGGGGGTGGGGCTAAGCTGGGTTCTCAGCCACAGGGGCTGGGTGCTCGGGTGACACCCCTAGCCAGGCCTGCCCTGTCTGGCACTTGGAAGCCAATGGCGGGCCCGGTGCTGGGAAGAGCAGAGCCGGATCTCCCACCCCCTCCTTCCCGGGGGCACTGCCTTCCTCCCCTCTGCCCTAACCAGATTATGGGGGACGGGCTGCCCCCCTTGGGGTTGCAGTGCCATCTCAGACCCCGCCACTGACTGTGGCGGAGCTGGCCAGGCCCTGTAGCCCCAGAAGGGACACCCAGTCAAAAAGATGTGACCGTCCTCTTCCTGGGCATTGGCATATTCCAGGGCCCACCCAAGCCTTGGAATTTTCTTGGGAGACTTCTCAGACACCCCCTTGGTGGCTCCAACAGACCTCCCAGTGAGGCTGTGGCAGGAAGGGACAGGGTGGACTGGGAGTGACTTTGGCCCCTCCTCTTGAGATTTCGGGGCAGGAAGGCAGAACCTGAGTGAGGCTCCGGGCTCAGTCCTGAGGTCACCTAAGACTGGGGAAGATGCATCTTGCTTGGCCCTGGAGTCTGGCCATGGGGTTCAGATGTCACTGCCATGTCACTCTCCCAGCCCTTGCTATGAGCTATGCACTGAGCTCATCCAGTTTGTAATGACCGAAGGGAGCAGATACCATCACCTCCCCAGGCTTCAGGGTGAGGAAACTGAGGTTCAGAGAAGAGAAGTGGCTTGCCAAGACCACAGAGCCAGGGTGGGGCCCATTTCAAGTCCAGGGCATTAACCCCAGGGCCTGTGGGTTGAGACCCCTGGGGCTCTACCTCCTCCCCGGATGTCAGGGGTGGAGGGACAGTAGGAGATGCAGACTGCAGAGCAGATGGTGGCACTGTAAGGGTCCCACCTCTCCTTCCCTCTGTGACTGTGCCCAGTGCCCCTGCAACCCACTCACAGACTGGAGGCCTAAGGAGCGAGAGTACTGGGGCTGGTCTCATCCCACCCTACGGGTGGATGTCACTGGCCTGAGGATAGCCTCCATGTTGCCTTCCTCGGCTAGCTCTGGCCCGAACTTCAGCTTCACCACTAACCTGGTCATGACTTCAGGCGAGCAGTTTGCCTGGCCTTGGCCTCAGTTTCCTCATCTGGGCAGTGGGCACAGCCATCACAGCATCATCCTCACTGGGCTGAGAAGATTAAAGTGGCAGCATGTGTCCAGGGCCAACCAGGCTGGCACCACAGCAAACCCTGGAAGATGCCTGCCTTTTCTTTGGCTGGATTCTTTTTTTTTTTTTTTTGAGACAGGATCTTGCTCTGTTGCCCAGGCTGGAGTGCAGTGGTTTTCTGCTCACTGCAACCTCCGCTTCCTGGCTTCAACTGATTCTCCTGCCTCAGCCTCCCAAGAAGCTGGCATTACAGGCACCTGCCACCACACCCAGCTAATTTTTGATTTTTAGTAGAGATGGGGTTTCACCATGTTGGCCGGGCTGGTCTCGAACTGACCTCAAGTGATCCGCCCACCTCTGCCTCCCAAAGTGCTGGGATTACAAGTATCTGCCACTGCACCCAGCCTCTTGGGTAGATTCTGAGCCAGGGAAGCTCCTGCAGGCCAGCACCGGAGCCCTTCCTAAGAGCTGCACAGTCACCCTGCAGGGAAGGGGCCAGAGACCATGCCAGACCCTTCCCTTCTGTTCCCCCTGCCCAGCATGGTGGGCCCAGTGGGCACCGACAGTGGGCAGCACAGCAGAAGAGGTGAGGAGAGCAGCTCTGGCCTCACCAGGTCCACCTCCATTTTCTTCTCTGTACAATGGGCATCATGGTACCTAAGTGCCAAAAACTGTTGCTGTCTCCTGGCCTCACTGGGCAGGCAAAAAAGAGGGTGTCCAGCTGGGGGAGGTGACTCAGGCCTGTAATCCCAGCACTTTGGGAGGCGAGGCGGGCAGATCACCTGAGGTTGGGAGTTTGAGACCAACCAGCCTGACCAACCTGTAAAAACCCCATCTCTACTAAAAACACAAAATTAGCTGGGCCTGGTGGTGCATGCCTGTAATCCCAGCTACTAGGGAGGCTGAGTCAGGAGAATCGCTTGAACCTGGGAGGCAGAGGTTGCATTGAGCCAAGATGGCGACATTGCACTCCAGTCTGGGCAACAGAGCAAAACCCCATCTTAAAAAAAAAGTGGGGGCGCTATGGAGTTGTAAAAATAGGGGTTAAAAAAAGAAAAAAAATTATCTGGGTGTGCTGGCAGGAGCCTGTAGTCCCAGCTACTCCGGAGGCAGAGGCATGAGAATGGCTTGAACCTTGGAGGCAGAGGTTGCAGTGAGCCAAGATCACGCCTTGCACTCAGCCTGCCCTCCAGGCAACAAGACTTAAACTCCGTCTCAAAAAAAAAAAGGGTGTCCATGGGCAATGAAGGCTGAGCTCAGTGCATACAGTAGGTGCCCAGTGAGTGCCGTGCTCCCTGTTGCTACTGATAGGGAGGCAGAGACAGGCACTCCCGTCCTCTCTGGTACTTGTGGGAGCACTGTGGGGACACCCAGGGAGGGGAGGAGCCCCGCTGCGCCCCCCCACTCCTGGGCCTTCTAGAGACAGCAACAGACTCACTCCTCTCCCGGCCCTTGTCCGCAGAGCGTGCCAGGAAGATGTCGAGCCCGGGTATCGACGGGGACCCCAAGCCTCCATGCTTGCCTCGAAATGGCCTGGTGAAGCTGCCAGGCCAGCCCAACGGCCTGGGTGCGGCCAGCATCACCAAGGGCACGCCAGCCACCAAGAACCGCCCCTGCCAGCCGCCACCCCCACCCACCCTCCCACCACCCAGCCTGGCTGCCCCACTGCCCCGGGCTGCCCTGGCCGGGGGCCCATGCTCCCCTGCAGGTGGACCGGCCTCAGCCTTGGCACCTGGGCCCCCAGCAGAGCGGCCGCCGCTGGCCACGGACGAGAAGATCCTCAATGGGCTCTTCTGGTACTTCTCGGCCTGCGAGAAGTGTGTGCTGGCCCAGGTGTGCAAGGCCTGGCGGCGCGTGCTCTACCAGCCCAAGTTCTGGGCAGGCCTCACGCCGGTGCTGCATGCCAAGGAGCTGTACAACGCGCTGCCTGGCGGCGAGAAGGAGTTCGTCAACCTGCAGGGCTTTGCCGCCAGAGGCTTCGAGGGCTTCTGCCTGGTTGGCGTCTCTGACCTGGACATCTGCGAGTTCATTGACAACTATGCGCTCTCCAAGAAGGGTGTCAAAGCCATGAGCCTCAAGCGCTCCACCATCACGGACGCAGGCCTCGAGGTGTGTGAGCAGGCTGGGTGTCGGGGACGGGGCTGGGGGGCAGGGCTGGGCAGCAGCAGCCCTGTGGGGGCTGGAGAGGATGGTGGCCTTGGGGTGGGGTAAAGCAAGGCTGACCATGGGGGACCTCGTGCAAAGCGAAAATGTGGGTTCCTTGTTCAAAGACTATCAAGGTTTTCAAGATGGTAGCAGCAGGGCGGCTGATTAAACGCAGGGCCCAGGCTTGGCACGGTGGCTCACACCCATCATCCCAGCACTGTGGGAGGCCCAGGCGGGCAGCTCACTTGAGGTCAAGAGGTCAGGAGTTCAAGACCCGCCTGGTCAACGTGATGAAGCCCTGTCTCTATTAAAAATGCAAAAATTAGCAGCCAGGTGTGGTGGCTCATGCCTGTAATCCCAGCACTTTGGGAGGCCGAGGCGGGGCTGATCACGAGGTCAAGAGATGGAGACCATCCTGGCTAACATGGTGAAACCCATCTCTACTAAAAACACAAAAAAATTGGCTGGGCATGGTGGCATGTGCCTGTAGTCCGAGCCACTCGGGAGGCTGAGGCGGGAGAATGGCTTGAACCTAGGAGGCGGAAGTTGCAGTGAGCTGAGATCACGTTACTGGATGCCAGCTTGGGCAACAGAGCAAGACTCCATCTCAAAAAAAAAAAAAAGAAAAAGAAAAGAAAAAAATGCAAAAATTAGCCGGGACTGGTGGCAGGCATCTGTAGTCCCAGCTACTTGGAACACTAAGGCAGGAGAACTGCTTGAACCCAGGAGGCTGAGGGTGCAGTGAGCTGAGATGGTGCTACTGCACCCCAGCCTGGGGCCTGGGCAACAAAGTGAGACTCTCTAAATAAATAAATAAATATAACTAAATGCAGGATCAGGAAGAAGCTGGGGGGAGCTGAGGGGCAGCTGGGGAAGGATCCCCCAGGAGCAGAGGTCAGAGGAGCCACCTGGCAGCCGGGCTTGAAGTCTTAATTATAACATGGGTACCAACACTCCTGGCACCTGCTCTGGCCATGGCCCTGGGCTCTGGTCCCGATGCCCGGCGTCCTCACACACTGCCAAGTGTTTTCAGAGTTCAGCTCCCTGCATGTTTACGCCAGTAACCAGGACCACTGCCTCCTCCCTGCCGGCTCCACCCGCTCTTTGGGAAGGAGCGCCCCAGGCTGGAGGCAGGGAGCCCAGGCCTGGCGCGCCCTTGACCCGGCGCCCGCCTCCTGCAGGTTATGCTGGAACAGATGCAGGGCGTGGTGCGTCTGGAGCTGTCCGGTTGCAACGACTTCACCGAGGCCGGGCTGTGGTCCAGCCTAAGCGCCCGCATCACCTCACTGAGCGTGAGCGACTGCATCAACGTAGCCGACGACGCCATCGCGGCCATCTCGCAGCTGCTGCCCAACCTGGCGGAGCTGAGCCTGCAGGCCTACCACGTGACGGACACGGCGCTGGCCTACTTCACTGCGCGCCAGGGTCACAGCACACACACGCTGCGCCTGCTCTCCTGCTGGGAGATCACCAACCACGGCGTGGTCAACGTGGTGCACAGCCTGCCCAACCTCACTGCGCTCAGCCTCTCGGGCTGCTCCAAGGTCACCGACGACGGCGTAGAGCTCGTGGCCGAGAACCTGCGCAAACTGCGCAGCCTCGACCTCTCGTGGTGCCCACGCATCACTGACATGGCGCTGGAGTACGTGGCCTGCGACCTGCACCGCCTGGAGGAGCTCGTGCTGGACAGGTGCGTGCCCCGGGCCGCGGGGGGCGGGGCGGGGCCAGGCAGGGGACGGGCGCAGGGAGGGGCTCCCGGCGTGGCCCAAGCGGAGACGCTGTGGGCAGAGCCCTCGGAGGCCGAGCGCCTGGGAGTGGGCAGAAACACAGCTCTGGTTGGCTGGACCCCTGTCATTCGCAATGGGTGGGAACGAGGAGGGGCAGGAAGGGATTCACCCCAGGGGCACTCCTGGGAGGAGGAAGGAGGGCTGCGGCCAGGTGATTTGAAGGTGCGGGTCCCTTCTGGTGCAACCACAGGTGTGTGCGCATCACGGACACTGGCCTCAGCTATCTGTCCACCATGTCGTCCCTCCGCAGCCTCTACCTGCGATGGTGCTGCCAGGTACCGGCCCTCACGCCCAGGGACTGGGGAATCGGTGGGGGAGGTGCGGACGTGGGGAGAGCTCCCGGCCCCACTCAGATCCTGGGGAAGTCTGGGCCCCTCCCTATCCATCAGCCAATCTACGCGGAACACAGGCGGAACACAGGCGGAACGCAGGCAGAACGCGGGGGTGCCCGGGGTCCACCAGCACTTCCCAGCCGCCTCTGAGCTCGCGGGCGCTGAGGAACCCCGGGCTTGAACCCACCTAGCGCTCCATGGACCCCAGGGTACCCTCCCCTTCGGCGCGGGTGGAAATCGTTGTCACCCCTCCACTCCCGACAGGTGCAGGACTTCGGGCTGAAGCACCTCCTGGCCCTGGGGAGTTTGCGCCTGCTGTCTCTGGCAGGTGAGACCCCTGATCCTGCTCTGACGCTGAGTGGTGACCACCCACCGCCACCGAGTCCCCCGCCCAGCCCGTGCAAACTCACCGTCCAGGGTCCGAGGGGGAGGAGGAGGGAGACGCGGCCCCGCCGTCCCGGCCGGAGCCCTGGGCCGCGCACTGAGCCCCCGCCCTGCTCCCGCCGCAGGCTGCCCGCTGCTCACCACCACCGGGCTGTCGGGCCTGGTGCAGCTGCAGGAGCTGGAGGAGCTGGAGCTGACCAACTGCCCGGGCGCCACCCCCGAGCTCTTCAAGTACTTCTCGCAGCACCTGCCCCGCTGCCTCGTCATCGAGTAGCGCGGGGGCCCCCGCCCCGGTCGCGGGAACCCGGCCATGACCTGGGCGGGGGCGCCGGGCGCCGCCAAGCCCCCTCTTCCCGCCCTGCACTGGGGGAGCCCCCGCGCCCCCGCGCCCCAGGGCCAGCGCGGGAGGCGGGACGAGCCGAGGGAAAGCCCCGCCCCGGCCCTCGGCCCCTCCGCCCTCCCGGCCCCTTCCTGGGCGGGGGGCGGCGAGTGGGCCCGCCCGGGCCCGCCCCACGCACGCACGCACACTCGGGGACTTTGTGCATGCCCCTCGTGCCCGCACTGCACGCCGCCCTCCGCCACGCCACAGCCGCCGCCATCACTCGCTCGCCCGCCCGCTTGGGGGACGGGGCTCGGTCCTTGGGGGGCGCTTTGAGCCCTCCAGACTGTGCCCTTACCGCCTTCCCCGCCACAACCGCTCTGTCTCCCCACTGTCCCCCCCATCCCGGGCAGGGCCCAGGGGGATTGAGGGGGCTGGGTCCCCCAGGACACGGGGCCCGGAAGAGCCCCATGGGCTTCCTGCATCTTCCACTGCACCATGCCTGGAGCCCTCCGAGGGGGGTCGGGGAAACCGGCCACCGCCAAAGCCATGGCCTGCGCCGAGGAGCCCGAGCCCTACCCGCACCTCCTCACCCATCCCGCCTGACCCAGGCGGCCTCCCGTCCTCCTTGCCACTGTGAGGGGCAGTCCCCTGTCCGCCCCCCAACCCGGCCTTGGCCCCTGGCCAGGCTGAGACAGAATTGGGCAGGGAGAGGGTGGAAGGGCTGGCGATCACCTTGGAGTCATCAGCATTAGCCCAGCGGACTCCGTCCGCCTCACCCCAGGGTGGCACAGGCACCTCGAAGGCCCCCAAGTTGGAGTAGCCCTCAGGGCTCTCAGGCCCCGGGAGAGGCCTGGGCCAACCCCACACCTCAGTCCTTGGACCTGGCCAGGCTCAGTTCCGGCCTGGGCATCGAGCTTCACCCCGGGCGGGTCTCCTCAGGTGGAGTCTGCAAAGTGGACCCAGCGAAGCTTGGGCCAGGGTCAGCACTGACCAGCGACTCCAATCTTCCAGTGGCCAGCACACCCTAGACACCCCGAGGAGGGAGGGCTCCTTTCTAGCCTCCCCCAACTCCACCCCTCCCCAGCTTCCCAAACTTCTGCCTGCCCAAACGGGCTCTGACCGTGCTCTGTCGCCCCAGACATTTGGAAGTCCTGGGGAATGCTGGCAAACCTCGGCCATCGCCGAGGAGGGGGCTGGGACCCCTTCCCATCCCAACCTTGAGCCCCAGGAGATTCAGCGCCCACACCCAATCTTGGGACACTCCCTATCTGGTTGGAAGAGAGTAACCAGTTTCCAGAGAGCCAGAGAGTGAGAGAGAAAGAGAGTGAGAGAGAGAGAGAGAGAGAAAGAGAGAGAGAGATGCTGTTGAATCAGAAACAGTTCAACAGCCCAAAGATTTTCCTGTCCCTGGAGTGCCGGCCCCAGGAAGCTCCAGGGCTGAGTGGTCAGGAGCCAGTTTCTCCAGCCCCTCCTCCCCACAACCCCTGGTGGGGAAGGGCAGCTGCCCATTTGCCCAAAGTATTAATGCAACTGAAGCTGTGATATTTCCAACGACTGTAGGTGGAAAAATTAAGGGGAGAGAGGAAAAACAAAACCAACCAACCCCTAAAATCATTTTCTTATTGTACATAACGACCTCATTCTCCTGTATATGCGGAAGATATAACCTTATATTTGGTAAGTGTTTCTTGTGCTATTTTATCACGTGACCTGTTTATAAAAATATATATTAAAAAAGTTGTAAAAACATGTGTCCGAGTTGTTTTCAGGTCATCAGACCATGGTGCAGGAGGGCGTATTTGCCCTGCGTGTCCCAGGTCTCGGGATCATTCTGTACCTCTTATCAGATTTATTCATTCTTGCAACAAAGGGGTAGAGGCTGGATGCCGATATGGTAGACTGGAAGGAAACAGCAGCGACTGCATGGAAGGCGGCGGACTTCGCATTGCTTAAATCACATAACATTTCCTCCGAAATATCCAGACTCTAGCCCACCCTTCCAGAAAGGCAGAAATGAGCCCTGTTCTATGCAGAGTAACAGGCAGGGACAGGGATGTTGCATAAGATTACACAATGCACTAACAGCAAAGGGTCACACCCAGGAGAGAAACAGGTCGAAAGAGGGCAAATGAGGCCCGACACAGTGGCTCACGCCTGTATTCCCAGCACTTAGGGAGGCTGAAGTGGGTGGATCACCTGAGGTCAGGAGTTCGAGACCAGCCTGGCCAACATGGCGAAACCCTGTCTCTACTAAAAGTACAAAAAGTTAGCCGGGTATGGTGGCGGGCACCTGTAATCCCAGCTACTCGGGAGGCTGAGGCAGAATTGCTGGGACTCAGGGGGTGGAGGTTGCAGTGAGCTGAAAATGTACCCCTCATTCCAGCCTGGGTGAAAGAGTGAAACTCTGTCTCAAAACTTTTTTTAAGAAGTTAGAGGGCAACTGGGTGAACAGGTGTGTTCGGCACTAAGCATTTGGCGGGGGCTGAGCCAGATGCGATTCCTGCCCTGTGGAATTCACACTCCCATGTGAGTAACAACAACCAGTAAAAACGGGTGGGCGGCGACGTGGAGGCCGCACGGATGGAGAAGCCAGTGAGGTGCAATGGTCAGGGAAGTCCTCTCTGGAGAAGGCACAGCCCGTACAAAGTCCCTGAGGCAGGAACGGGCTTGGTGGGCTGGGAAACGGGGTGGAAGCTGCTGTGGCTGGCGATTCGCAGGGGCAGGCAGAGGCAAGGTGTTGGGGATTTATTCCCAGTGCCGTGGGAGCTGCCAGAGGCCTTAGACAGAAGACTGGAACTGGACTTCTGTGCGGGTTTCACATCAGAGGCGAACGAGGGACCCAGGAGAGCCGTTGGGAGGCTGCTCCCAAGGTCCAGGAGTGAGGAAGCTGGGGAAGACTGGAGCCACTCGAAACTTGTCTAGGGATGACCCGACGTCACGACGGACCTGGGAATTGGAATATCCAGGCACTGGGATTAAAATATTGAAATTAAGACTGAAAAAAAAAAAAGGCCAGGCGCAGTGACTCACACCTGTAGTCCCAGCACTTTGGGAGGCTGAGGCAGGAGGATCGCTTGAGTTGAGCGGTTCGAGGCCAGCCTGGCCAACATGGTGACACCCCGACTCTACTAAAACTACCAGAAGCATTCGCCAGGTGTGGTAGAGCGTACCTGTAGTCCCAGCTACTCGGGGGGCTGAGGCGGGAGAATCGCTTGAACCTGGGAGGTGGAGGTTGCAGTGAGCCGAGGTCGCGCCACCGCACTCCAGCCTGGGCGACAGAGCGAGATTCCGTTTCAAAAATAAACAACACACAAGCACCGCAACGGAGCGCAATGGCGGCCCCCAGGGCGGCCGCACACCGCCGTCCCGGGCCGGGCCCCGCCTCTGCCACAGGCAGCTCCCTGACACGGAACTTTCGTGGTGTGAGGCGAGAGTCTGTGCCGCTTCCGGAGAGGAGCGGGTAAGGAACCGACCACTTCCGGCGAGGGGCGGGAAAGACAGGCAGCTTCCGGCGCCACGCTTCCGGACAGCCGTGCGCTTAGCAAAAGACTGGGTTTCGCGCTGGGGAGAACGGCTGCCCTGGGCCCTCTGGTTCTCGTCCCGCGGCGTCCGCTCCCTCGCGCCACTGCGCCAGGGAACCTCTGTGCCGCCCCCAGGAAGTCCGCTTCTCTCCTGCCTCCGGTCCCGCCAGGCGCCTCGAGCTCCTTGAGTAGCTCGGTCTTTGAGGTCCCTCTGGGCCCCTCGCGCGTCTATCACCGGAGTCCCCGGGCCCCTCTAGCCCTCTGTTCCCTCCCCTCTTCTGTTCCTCCCCAGAACCCCGCCGCCCTCGGCCTCGTCCCCAGGGCTGACCCTGTGGACAGTGGGAGTCACTTCGCTCCCCTGCTGGGATTGACTGACCCAGGGTTTAGTGACTGCCCAGATCTGGCTGATGGGGGGATCGAGAGGTACCCTGGGCCGGGAGTGTCCAGCTAGGATCTTTCGTGGAAGTCAGACATGAAACTGACAGGCCTAAGGGAAGCTAGGGAGCTTTCTCACCGCTCAGCCAGGGTGATGATGGGCTGGACTGACGGACTAAGGTCAGTTTGAGCTTGCTTGTCAGGCTGATTGGTTGATGGACTGCCCTGGACTGGCTCACCAAGACTGACCAGGCCGGGCCCAAGCAGTTCTGGGGTTCCCAACCTGGGTTGGAAGGTCTGAACTGATGGCCCACCCAGGCTGACCAGGTCAGCCCACTTCACTGACCTCCTGACCCCTGACCTCATCACCTGTACAGCCATGGAGAAGATGTCCCGTGTAACCACAGCCCTGGGTGGCAGCGTGCTGACAGGCCGCACCATGCACTGCCACTTGGATGCTCCTGCCAACGCCATCAGCGTGTGCCGTGACGCGGCCCAGGTGGTTGTGGCAGGCCGCAGCATCTTCAAGATCTATGCCATTGAGGAGGAACAGTTCGTGGAGAAGCTGAACCTGCGTGTGGGGCGCAAGCCCTCACTTAACCTGAGCTGCGCTGACGTGGTCTGGCACCAGATGGATGAGAACCTGCTGGCCACGGCAGCCACCAACGGCGTGGTGGTGACGTGGAACCTGGGCCGGCCATCCCGCAACAAACAGGACCAGCTGTTCACAGAGCACAAGCGCACGGTGAACAAAGTCTGCTTCCACCCCACCGAAGCCCACGTGCTGCTCAGTGGCTCCCAGGATGGCTTCATGAAGTGCTTTGACCTCCGCAGAAAGGATTCTGTCAGCACCTTCTCGGGTGAGGCCACAGAGGCAGGTCAGGACGGGAAGTGCTCCGTGCATCAGAGGGCTTCAGGATCACTCCCAGAGGGCTTTTTTTTTTTTTTTTTTTTGAGACGGA